TTTTACGTAATCCATGATCGAATTTTTTGTAATGCATGATCAAATTTTATGTAATCCATGATCGAATTTTTTGAAATCCATGATTGAATTTTTTTAAAATTTGTGATTTTTTTTTTATAATCCATGATCGAATTTTTTTTTGTAATCCATGATAGAATTTTTTGAAAATTTGTGATTTTTTTTTTTTAATCCATGATCGATTATTGTGAAAATTTGTTTTTTTTTTTTTTTAATTCCTTATTATTCAAAGAGAAAATGAGAGAGATGATGATTCTGAGGCCACCCTATTCCAGCCATATTATTCACATATCGAGTCCCAACAGCAACAGTGTAGGGATGAGCACAACAGTGCAGGTGAGCATGAAGGATGGACAATCTTCGGGGATTTTAGATTGGGAACACAACAAAACATTAACACTCAGGGATTTGGGAATAGTCAGACGCCTGCTAATATCGATGATTCGTTTTTAGATCGAATCAATTAATTGTTAAACGAATTCAATCAATGGCACCAACGTGACCAAGAAGAACAATAACGTCGTCTATCATTTTATTTTTAGATCATATGTTACTAATTTTATGCTTTATTGTAGTCCATGTATGTTGATATACTTATTCCATGATAATTCTATGTTTATCCTTTTGTGTGATGTAAATTAATGGCGGTTCATGCAGGGAAAGAACATATCAATATTCGCATATTCATTCAAAAACATGAAAATTCTTAATGGAGTACACTCATTTCTTATTGAATTCCTAAAAAACAATATTTATAATGAATTTTAATAATTTTTTCGGATTTTTTTTAAGCTTTATTCTGACCGATTCACCCGATTCCCGATCCGAATCGCCGATTCGCCGATCCGGATCGGTTTTTTGGGAGCCCGATCCGGGTCACCGATCCATTTTTTAAACCATTGGGCCAAATTATAGCTCCATCTATAAAGTGGTGTTCGTGCCCTTTTAACGGAGGGCAAAACTATTCTTATTTTTAATTTGAATTCAATTTCAAGAGTAAGGATCAAAGGATCTTGGTAAAGGATAATGAGGTTAACGAAAGGTGGAGAGTTTATTTTCAAAAATTATTAAATGACAAACACAATGGGAACATAGTGGTACAACGAACTGTTGGTACAATAGAAGGCGGAGGTCATAGATTCATTCATAGGATTAGGATGTCGGAAGTGAAAGAAGCTTTGAAAGGATGAAAATATGAAAGGCTTTAGAACCAGATGGTATC